CCAACTGAGCCACCCAGATGCCCCTGTACTTCACTTTTAAGCAGTCTATTATAGCATTTAGTCTGTTACAGGTTTTCCTGGTTAGGCCGAAAATGTTGACTGAATTAAAGAAATATGTCATTTAAATTCCTAAATCAGTATGCAAAACATCTGTTACAGACTAAATGTTCAATTACAATAGTTCCCCCTTATCTGTGGGGATAGGTTCCAAGACCCCTCCCTAGTGGGTGCCTGAAACCACAGATAGTACCAAACCCTAGATACACTGGTTTTCCCTATACACACATACCTATGATGAAGTTTAACTTGTAAATTAGGCACAGTGAGAGATTAACAATAATACAGAACAAATTATAACAATATACTGTAATAAGTTATGTGAATGTGGCTTCTCTTTCAAAATACCTTATTGTACTGTAGTTACCCTCTTTTGGGACAGTGGTTGACCACAGGTAACTAAAGCCATGGAAAGTGAAACCAGAGACAAGGAGAGACTGCTGTAATACTGGTCAAACTAATTAATGACTGATTGAGCAAAGTATTACTAGAATTATGGTTATAGCTAGAAGTTGCCTAAACACCTGAATCTACTGTGTGAAACTGAAGGTTTCTTAAATATAACATACATCTAAAACTTGCAGGAATTCAGGCCTATGGATAGTTAGCGATAAGCGACACACAAGTTTATCACTACACTGGCAAATTGCACGTTCTCTCTACAGAGGTGAATTTGTTCAAGTGGAATGATTGTCTGAAAATATCACTGTGTCTAAGAGGTTCTGAGAAGGATGGTCAGGCTTATAAATCTGACCACTATTCTGTCCCAACAAACCCTACTGGTGCCTCCCAAACTGTTTCCTGCTTAGAAGTGAATTTTCCTAGATTTCTGATGACGTGAATGCCCTTCAAAGATTCTACTGTCGCTCCTTTGCGTTGGTCAACACCACTGCCCGTTAGTCACTAGAAACTTGGCAAATTACTAACCTAGCAGAAACATGGAATATGTATATTCTAAATAGGAATCACTTTTAAATCAATTTACTGAACTTTATATTGCCACAACAAATCTTCATTTCTCGACGGTCCCTAAAAAAAGATACAGACTTTTAAAATTTAGTAAAAAGTGCTGAATGCTAGTTCAGTAATCATTTGAACTACTTTCCTTATTATGTATTCATTAGTAAGATCTTAGCTTCAATAAATATCACTTAACCCTTAACATTAAAAAATAATGTACTGCTAACCTTAATTTCAAAATTAACTACCTAATTATAATGAATGTATAAGTATTTGTACGAAGTATAGCAAAATACTATTAGTGTCTCAAGATTGCTATGTGTTAACCTCAGATCCAGAGCCTATAACAATGCTTTTAAGTTTCCCTTTCAAAAACTCAACCCTCATTTCTTTGTTATAAAAAACATGCCTCTAGCTATTTAAAAATATATACATAAGGAAAAATACACCAAAAGCTATCAAGGAAGACTGTGTTTGATTACTCTAGAAGTCTAACCCATTTAGATTCTTCTAAGAGTTATTTTGAGCATGCAGTTTACAAAAGCTTATTTGAACAATTTAAGCTTAATCTTACTATGATAAACATAAACACAAATAAACACAGAGTATGAAAGAACACCATACAAATTGTTGGTTTTACTGGTATCACAATGTCGTTTTAATACAAGCTAAATAGAAACACAATTGTTAGATATCCAGTCACCTATCCTGTGAAACAATATGCCAAGATCTACCTTGAAGCACTTATAAAAATGAAAATGTATAAAACGTCTTCCTCAATTAACTCTAAGGACAACATATACAAATGCAAAAACATGAACTTGTTAATAATCACATCAAATGTTGAGCTGCTGCCTGAGCAGTAAAAAAAACTATTCTAATTTTAAAATTAAATAGCTCCAGGTAAAAGCATGCAATTTCCCATATCTGCTATCTTTGTATTCTGCACAGAGTTCCAAGGCAAAGATTGTTTCTGGCTTTCTGAACCACCAGAGACGATGACCTGTGTGGCTGACTTATTACAGGCCTTTTAGTCTTCTTTCCTGATAGGTCCTTAGCTTCTTTGGAAGGAGGCATATGAATGGGTCTCCATGGAATTGGGTTATAAAAGGCTGGTTCTGGATAAGAATTTCCACTGTAAAAATCTAAAATTATTAAAAAGTCAGAACAAAACAAGAAAAAACTTCTTAAGATCAAAGAAACTACTTATTTTTAAATTCCTAGAAAAATGTTACAGTATCAAAAGGGCAAAAATATCACTGAGAAGCCAACTTAATCCATTTAAAACTTGAACTCTAAAATATTTTCAAACAAGTAACATTTTTCAAATACAGTAAGTACTGCAGTAAAAATTAAAATATAAATGATAATTCTAGAAGTCCAAAGAGTGTTCTTAAAATCTATATAAATAAAACCTCACATAAAAATTTTACTAGGAAATCCCTTTGTGAACCCTTAAATTGAACAAAATCTTCATTTTCTTACCTCAGTCTGGGAAACCACTGATTCTGTACTAGTTTTCCCTAGTCAGATACTAAACTTTAGAGAGAGAGAAAAAAAAAGTATATTGCAATAGTGCATATTTAGCTAAAGTGAACAAAACTCTTATTCATAATGACTGAAATTCTACATTACTATCACTCAAATTGATCAGATTTCATAATATCACTAAAATTTTGCTTATTAAAAGCAGTAGAGCATTTGCAGACAAAAGTTTATTTGAACAAAACTCATTTAAATTGCAAAAAATTTAATAAAATAATCCATTATTTTAGCAAATAACTTCCAGTAAATATGTATATTCCCACCTAAAGTTTTCACTTTCCCATCCAATCCTTCGGTCAAAACCACCGCTTATTACTATTTTTTTTCAGACAGGAAAAGAAGAAAAAAGAGCAGACCATGCCCGGTGCCTACTAGCTGTAATGGATGACTTCTATGACATGTGGGAGAGGCCTGAACCCTGACAGCAGGAATGTGTCGTTCAGACACTGGCAACCCACTTTGACTGCAGAGATATGTCAACACACACTTCACCGAGATGGTCAAAACAAAGTCTGGAATATGTTCTATTGTGTGAACAGAACAGAATGGGAGTATTTTTTAATAATAAATCACTTAAACAAGTGAAGGCAGCTGTCAGCAAGGCCTGAGCTTCCAACATGAGGCACAAAGAAAAACATGCAGCGCCATTTCCAACAAGGGCAGGCCCGAAGGCCCACCGGGTTTGTGTCGGGGTCGTACGCCGCGCAGTACTCCGCCCTGCAAAACAAATGTGCCCGAGACGCTGCAAGTTCTGCCTCAGGGAGGATTACAGGAAGGGGAGGAAAAAAAGGCCCCTTAAATGCATCCTCCTTAAGGCTTCAAAAGCCAAAAACATAAGAAAGTTTCAATGTGTTTCTTAATGTTACAAATCATTACTTTTGCAACTACTGCCTTTAAAATATACCTGATTTATAGAGAATGACAATAAATTTATTGTATCTCTATAGGAACACAGTGTGTTATAATCTTCCAGAAAATAGTAATTTGAAAGAAAAATGATTTTTACACATTTCTATTTCTGTCAAAAGGAAACATAATGTATAATATTTGCTCCTGCAAGCCATATTTATGTAAGCCACATAACATTAAAACCAACCTGTAAGTTTTCCGTTGGCATAACCATAGCCCTTTGCAGCTGGACGAGGTTTATTTTTTGCATTTTCCAACCATTCCTTAAACTTTTTCTCTGCTATTTCCTTTTTTTCCTGTAACTCAGCTTGCCGTTGTTTTTCTTTTTCCTTAAAATGACAAGACCAAAGAATCTGTAGTGATATTCTATAACTAAAAATTCTATTCAAATTGCACGGACTCTTTTCCCCAGTAGCTCCCCACCCCAATGGCTTACTGATCATAAATACTAAGTCATATTTATATAATTTGAGAGCAAAATTTAACATGGTCAGGGACACGATCTAAAGATGGCTGCCTCTAAACAACAGTAAGACGTCAAACCCAAGAAGAAAAAAGCAATTTTCTGGTTTGTTTTTTTTTTAACGTTTATTTACTTTTGAGAGAGAGAGAGAGAGAGAGAGAGAGAGGCAGGGAGGGGCAGAGAGAGAGGGAATCCCAAGCAGGCTCTGTGCTGTCAGCACAGAGCTGGACACAGGGCTCAAACTCAGGAACTGTGAAACCATGACCTGAGCGAAACCAAGAGTCGGATGTTTAACAACTGAGCCACTCAGGTGCGCCAACAATTTGTTGTTTTAAAATAGAACAGTAATTAATAAAATGTAATAAGGCTTTCATAAAAACACATTAAAAATATTTAAAACATAAACAATGATAAAGTTTGAACTAGACTGAAAATATACCAACAGGCTTATTAATATTTGTCAACCTAACAAAACCACAATTCATATTCATTTCTGAAACTTACACATAGTATAAATAAGTAGGGATAGCTTCATATATTTATTTTATGCTAAGATGGTACCAATTTTCTATAAGAAACTTAAAAAAATTTTTTTTACTAAATTAAAAAAATTTTTTTAATTTATTTTTGAGACAGAGAGAAACAGCGTGAGCAGGGGAGGGGCAGAGAGAGAGAGGGGGACACAGAATCTGAAGCAGGCTCCAGGCTCTGAGCTGTCAACACAGAGCCCGGTGCGGGGCTCAAATCCACCGTGAGACTGCAAGATCATAACCGAGTGGAAGTCGGACACTTAACTGACTGAGCCACCCGAGAGCATCCCCTCCGTGAGAAACTTTTTATACAATATAGTTGGCATGTATGAACACCAAAGCCATACATCTCAACTGGTCACTTTAATAAAAATACCTTTTCTTTCTTCTTCTTCTCACATTCTTCAGCATTTTTTTTCTTCAACCATTCCTGATATTTTTCTTTTGCCTTTTCTTGCAAATGTTCTTTCTCCATCTCCTTTGCTGCTTTTTCCTCCATTTCTTTATTAATTTTTTGTTCCCTTTCTTTTTTTTTCTTAAATAAAAATGAAGGAGTTTTAATTGGAATATTTATAATTATGCTCATACAAGCAATGAGTGTTATAAGAAGTAATCTTTTAAACTTCAGTTATTTCTTAAAATAGGTGGAAACATAGCGACCGACACAATGTGGCTTATTGAAAATATGTAACATACCTGCTCAATTTTAGTCTACCAACTGGGCTGTAAGTTTCATGATAACAGTAACAAAGACCTTGCTCATGAAAGTAAACTCAGAGCCTGTGACAGTACTAAGTAAACAGTAGGTATTCAATACAGATATATTGATAGTGAACTGAAATTACAACCTGTTAGACTATCCTGAATTTTGTATGTTTTAATAAATGTTGACCTTCACTCTAAAATAGGAGCGATATACCTACATTTCTTGGACAGTTTGCCAATATGAACACTTAGATAAAATCTTCTCCATCAGTGAGTTACAGAAAACAAAAAAATAACATTTTGGACCATTAGATACTGCTATAAGGGTACATACAGACAATCTCTAGCTATACAATTCTTGTAAGTCTTACACAGATCAGACGTTGGCCAACAATGGTCCCCAAGCCAAATATGGTCCACTAGCCACCTATATTTGTAAATAAAGTCTTATTGAAATGGAGCCATACGAATTTATTTATATATTTGTTGTCTATGGCTACTTTTGTACCACAACAGCAAAGTTGAATGGCTACAACAGAGTGTATGGCCTGCAAAGCCTAAACTATTTATCTGGCTCTTTACAGAAAAAAACTGGACTATAACTCAATGTTTTTTTCTTTTTCATTCAGAATACAATTTACCAACACAGTCACATTCTAAATAAGCCAATGACATGGCTAGCTCTCTTTATCAAAGGTGTAGAAAACAACATGCAAGGCATAAGTATATGCAATACAGATGCCAGATGCTTCACCCTTCACGGAGCAAAGAAATATGGGCTAAGAAACAACATTCTTCCACTGAAAGCATCTTGTAGAATACTTTAATATAAGCAATTCAATTAACACCCAAGTAACAAACATCAGTTACATACAATATATGTCCAGTCCTATGCAGGAAAAGCAAGTCTTAAAAATCAAAGCCTGAGTCATTCCCCAAGTTGCTAAGTGTACTTCTGTCTTGCTGGCCAGATGATAGCTCCAAAAAGGAATCCTTTCCTGCAATACTGGATTTTAACTACTCTACTGTCAGAAAAGCTATGAGATTGAAAAGGATCTTGTAGCATATCTGGCTCACTGATGCATGAGACTTTTCCACAACTCATCAACGAGGAGTCACCCAGTCCCTACATTGTCTTCAATTATAACAGCTAACATTTACTGAGTGCTGACTCTTCCTGTTACTTTTCTATATACTTTCTACGTTTGTACTATGTCAATTCTTATGACCACAATATGAGGTGAGCACTATTATGATCTTACCTTACAAATGGGAAATGAAGGCACAAAGAGGTTAAGCCATGTGCCTAAGGTCACACAGATAAGTGGCAGATCACAGATCATACAGACACAGAGATGAATGAATGTTAAAAACAATTTTATGTCAATTAATTCCACTTAAATGAAATGTCAAATTCCTTAAAATATTCCATTTTCCAAAACTGATTCAAAAAGAAAAGAAAGGATCTGAATAACCTTCTATCTGTAAAAACAATTCGGAATTTAAAACTTTCCCACAAAGAAAACTCCAGCCTTGAATAGCTTCACTGCCGGATTCCATCACACATTTAGGAAGAAATAATACCAATCACCACGTGAATTATTTTGGAAAACAGAAAAAAAAAGTATAAATATTCAAACTCATTTTAAGAGCCCAGTAGTACTCTGATATCAAAACCAGACATGGAAGTCATTAACATACTATCAGGAATAAGCAAAATAACTGTTCTCATCACCAAAACCATGAAATTCTTAGGGATACATTTAACAAAACGTGTAATACCACTGTACCTTGAAAACTAAAAAAAAAAAGTCACTGACAGAAATTAAAGATGACGTAAATAGAAAGAAAAATCATGTTTACAGATTTAAAATTTGATATTACTAAGATGTCAATTTCCTCCAAAATGATCTATATTTTTAACGTAATCCCAACTGTGGCAGGCCTTATTAAAGCAAACATGATCAGAGAAATTCTAAATTGTATATGGAAAGATGCAGAGTAACTAAAACAATTTTGTAGAAGAAAAAATGGAGGATTTACACTCTCTGATTAAAAGAATTATAAACTCAAGAATTATAGAGCTTCAGTAATAGGCTTGGGTGGTAATGGCACAGGATTCGATCAATGGGAGAGAATAGAGTCCAGAAATAGACCTATGCTTAGACGGTTAATTGATCTTAAACAAAAGTGCCAAGGTAATTAAATAGGGAAAAGATTATCTTTTCAACGAATAGTGTTAGAGCAATTTAGCATCCATATGCAAAAAAAAAAAAAAAAAAAAAGAAAAAAAAATCCCTGATGCTTAATTCTTACCACACATTAAAAGTAACTTAAAATATAGATAAAAGCTAAAGTTATACAACTTCCCGAAGAAAACAATGGAGGACATTTTTACCCCCTTGGTGTTAGGCAAATGTTTCTTAAACAGGACACAAAAATGACAAGCTATAAAAAAATAAAATATCAACTTTATGAAAATTTAAAACTTCCCTTTAAAAAATACCACTGAGGGGGCGCCTGGGTGGCGCAGTCGGTTAAGCGTCCGACTTCAGCCAGGTCACGATCTCGCGGTCCGTGAGTTCGAGCCCCGCGTCGGGCTCTGGGCTGATGGCTCAGAGCCTGGAGCCTGTTTCCGATTCTGTGTCTCCCTCTCTCTCTGCCCCTCCCCCGTTCATGCTCTGTCTCTCTCTGTCCCAAAAATAACTAAACGTTGAAAAAAAAAATTAAAAAAAAAAAATACCACTGAGGAAAATTAAATGGGAAGAAATATTTGCTATATCTATATATCTATATATAGATATATATGAATGAATTAAAGGAATATATAAATAATTCTTACAATTTATGAATAAGACATACAATCCTTCCACAAAATGGGCAAAAATTTAAGCACAACACAAGACAAAAACAGGACAAGAGATGTAGAAATGGTTGGTAGTGTTATAGACTGAATTGTGTCCCCCAAAATTCTATGTTGAAGCCTTAACCCTCAAAGTGACTGTATTTGGAGATAGGACCTTTAAAGAGGTAATGAAGGTGATTAAAGTCATAAGGATAGGGTCCTAATCCAGTAGGGCTGATGTCCTTATAAGAGGAGAAAGAGACATCAGGGATATTCATGCAGAGAAAAGGGAATGTAATGGTGTGGAGACAAGACATCCATCTTGCAAACCAGGAGAAACCAAACCTTACTGATAACCTTCATTTTAGACCAGCCTCCAGAACGATAAGAAAATAAATTTCTGTCATTTGAGCTTACCCAGCCTGTGGTATTTTGTTATGGCGGCCCTAGGAGACTAATACAATAAGCTTATGAAAAGATGCTAAATTTCAGATCTCAGGGAGAGGAAAACAATGACACCCCACTACACATGCACCAGAATGACTTAAAATGAAAAAGACTGACAATATAAACCTTGGTAAGGATGTGGCACAGCTAGAACTTTTATACAATAGTCATAAAAAATGTAAAATGATACAAGCATATTTAAAAAGTTTGGCGGGGCGCCTGGGTGGCGCAGTCGGTTAAGCGTCCGACTTCAGCCAGGTCACGATCTCGCGGTCCGTGAGTTCGAGCCCCGCGTCAGGCTCTGGGCTGATGGCTCAGATCCTGGAGCCTGTTTCCGATTCTGTGTCTCCCTCTCTCTCTGCCCCTCCCCCGTTCATGCTCTGTCTCTCTCTGTCCCAAAAATAAATAAACGTTGAAAAAAAAAATTAAAAAAAAAAAAAAAAGTTTGGCAATTTCTTTTAAACACATACTTACCATACAACCTAGCAATTCAGTTCCTGAGCAGTTACCCAAGAAATGAAAACAAATGTCCACAGAAAGACTTGTACAGGGGCACCTTGGGTGGCTCAATCAGTTAAGTGTCCAACTCTTGTTTTGGCTCAGATACTGATCTCATGGTTTGTGAGTTCAAGCCCCATATTGCACTCTGTGCTGATAGCATGGAGTCTGCTTGGGATTCTCTCTCTCTGCCCCTTCCCCACTTGGGCTCTCTCTCTCTCAAAATAAATAAACTTAAAAAAAATTGTACATAAGTCATCAGAGAATTTTATTCATAATACCCCAAAATCGGAAATAACCCAATTTCCCATCAACTAGCAAATGGATGGACAATTTGTGAAATTACATAGAATATAATACTTATTGTTGAAAAAAAAGGCAAAATCAATACCAGGAAATTTTAAAAACAAAAGAGGCCCAATGCAAAAGAATATATATTCTATTATTCGATTTATATGAAATTCTAGAAAAGGTAAATCTAATCCAAAGGCACAGCAGGGAGACTAATGGTTTCCTTGGAGCTGAGGCCCACTGTGGGTGGAGATCAGAGGCTGACTACAAAAGGGCGCAAGGGAACTTTTGGGAGTGATGGAAATGTTCTATGTGCCGACTATGGCACTGTTTATCCAGGTATACAAGTTTGTCAAGTCTCATCAAAATTAAGAAAGGTGTATCTTATTGTATGTAAATTATAGTTCAATGATGTTTCTTTTAAAACATCATAAAGACTTTCTGTAGAATTTATGCCAGAGAAGAAAGAATGGAATGCCTTTAGTTGTTAGCAAAAGAACAGAGCAGGCACTCAGAGATGGACTAAGAGAGAGCAGCCCGTTACTAAGCGGCTTCAGGTTTTCTGGCACTCCAGTTCTATACCACACAGAGCACAATAATAAATCTTCCCTTTTTCAGGACAGGGCCCTGAGAGAACCTTTGTTTTTTGTAACTAAAGGAAACTAACAAAATAACTGGTTACTTAAAGTTTCTGAAGTTCTATTTTGGTTCCTCTAGTAGTATCTGCCACAGTGTAAAAGTATTCAGTGCATGAATAACAGTGTTATCAATCATCTGCTTTATTGATCCGAATTAATTTTTTACATTGAAATATCAGTTCCATGTCTTAAGAGTTAAAAGTAATTTTATTTTTAATCTTTTTAAAACAATGAAGGTAAATAAAGCCCTTTTACAAAATATGTGATAACATGCTGTAAAAAAAAATAAATCTAAAAATATGAATTAGTATGGCCACACAAATTTAAGAGTACCAGATGAGATAAGCCATTTATTTGAAAAGGACTTAACAATTTACAGTCATATTAGAAGAAACCAACTTTGCTAATGGATACATAAATTCTTTTTGTCTGATTACTTGATAGAACACAGTGAAAATGACTTAGAGAAAATTACACCACAGATATAGCTAAAATGTGAATGAAGCTAGAGGCAGTGGGGGACCACACACCATGAAATGTAAACAGAGGAGAAAAAAGCTAGATGCCAGACGGGAAGAGAAGAACCAGGAGAGCAGTCTTTACAAACAGAGGTAAATCTAACTAAGACTGAACTAGGAAATCTGACAGGTCTGAAAGAAAAAAAAAAATTAGAGTAATCAATTATTCCTTCATTTGTACAAGAATTCTGCAGAATAAATAAATTTAATTTCTCAGGGCTCATTTCTGAACTATTCTCATACTTATGGACTCTTGCTTTCAATAATTGGTGATTTATGTCAGGACAAGCCATTTCCCTTCAAAAGAAAAAAAATTTTTTTCTCAAATAACTGGATTAGATCTACTGACACTAATTAAAATAGAGAATATATCATCTCTCAGCGGTATCTTACATTCTCAGAAAAACAACAACTATGTTTGATTGGCATGGTAAAATGAGCTTAATGGAGCTAAAAGATAAGAGAAGCTTTTAGAGGAGAGAGAACACTATTCTGTACATGTAAAACGGTTTTGTTTTATAGCCAAAAACTTCACAAAATTATCACCCAGAGCTTGCAAATAGTCACACAGACTTAAAGAATTCTTTCTTGTTATATTATGGAATGAAGCAACTTAAAAATAATAACAACTTACTTCTGAAGATCAAATATGTTTATGGTTACAACACACACACGTCCAGCCAATTTCCTTCTTATAATATCTGGATGAAGAAAGCTATGTCATCTTCAACTTACTGAAATTATTGGTTAGGTACTCTTATTAATTCCATTGAGCATTAGATTCAATAATAGTTAAGGACAACTAGAATGAAAAATTTAAAACTCTGTCCAGTAACTTAAATATTTGACTAAATTCATAAAATTGGATCAAATAAGAAAAGCAGTACCGTTCTAAATATGTAAAAATCACAATAGGAAACAAACAAAAGATAAGTATTTTCAAAATGTCTAATTTATGAGCCAATATAAGAATGTATTAAAACTGAAAGATAGCAGATGAACATAGGGGAAGGGGGAAAAAAAAGAGAGAGGGAAGCAAACCATAAGACTCTTTTTTTTTTTTAATTTTTTTTTTTAATGTTTATTTATTTTTGAGGCAGAGAGAGAGCATGAACAGGGAAGGGTCAGAGAGAGAGGGAGACACAGAATCTGAAACAGGCTCCGGGCTCCGAGCTGTCAGCACAGAGCCTGACGCGGGGCTCGAACTCACGGACCGCAAGATCATGACCTGGGCTGAAGTTGGACGCTCAACCGACTGAGCCACCCAGCCGCCCCATAAGACTCTTAACTATAGAGAACAAACAGGGTTGATGAAGGGGAGGAGGGGGGGATGGGCTAGATGGGTGATGGGTACTAAGGAGGGCATTTGTTGTGATGAGCACTGGGTGATGTATGTAAGTGATGAGTCACTAAATTCCACTCCTGAAACCAATATTACCCTATATATTAACTAACTAGAATTTAAATAAAAATTTGAAACAAAAAATAATAAAATAAAACTGAAAGATAATAGATTTACTCATACATTCCAGTAAAAAATGCTTTCTATATTACAAAGAATGATGCTAGATCTTATACTGGATTAAAAAGTTATAATGTAAAAAATAATTCCTATCCTTAAGAGTCTTAAAATTATAAGGAAGTGAAGATATATGCATAATACAAAATAGCAACAAAATATATAGATAATGCAAGGCAGTGTATGACAAAGTGATATAAATTGAACAAGGATTCAGAGAGGGAAAGAGTTTCTATTTCAAGCATGTAATCAGTGAGTGATTCATGCAGGAAATACTTCAAGTTGGATAATAAAGGGAAAGGTAGGGTGGAGGATATGATGAGATTCCATGTTGATGAAGTATAATATAAAAAAATAAGGAAGTAAGAAACAGAATGGAAGTGTTCTCAAAACTTCTCATGACTACATATCCCTGGTGGGGAGCACAGTCCATTGAGATTTCCTTGAAATCTGTTGTGTATATTAAACACAATATAAAAGTTATATTCCACCTCATTAAATATCTATGCTTGCTTTAATATGAAAATAACACTCTTCCTCTCAAAAATTTCCAGTAAAACTAATACTCTAAGAAGATGGGCCACGATAATCTTATGTGTGCTCCCAGAAGAATGCTAGTAAGAAACAACAGCACAGAAGGAAGGGAGCCACAGGAGGAAGATACCGCTCAGAGAGCAGAGAGTAGAAGATCTTTCACCAGCCAGGCTACAATTGTGAAAACATTATTCAGAGGTCAGTAGGGAATCATAAAAAATATATTTTGAATTGGGGAATGACGTTTGCCTTTTTAGCAAGATCAGTCTGGCAAAGACACAGAGGTTGTATTCATTCACTCAACAAACATTTTCGGGTATCTATTATGTGCCAGGCACTGATCTAGCTGCTAGAGAACTGAAGAAAAGAGGCAAAAATCTCTGGTCTGATGGAGTTCACATCCAGTGTGGGGAAATAAACAGTAAATAAGTTGAAAGATACAACAGGACCAGATAGGAAGAGATCACAAACAGGAGAGTAGGGACTACACAGGAAAGGTGGGGTGAGGGGGGGGTCACACACAAATGAATATAATTCTGATTATGCTGACGTGGCTGAGCTGACAGCAGTACTCATAACAGAAATCAAAGGAGAATGGGCACAAATGGGTTGTTTTAGATTTGCAGGCTTAGAGCTGCCTGCCAACCGAACAGATGGAAACCCAAGACTCCAGCATGTCAGGCCTAGAGATACAGACTTCATGACTACCTGAAGCAAGACACAAGGAAGCCACAGGAGGGAAAAAGGGAGAGAAGCAGAGAACAAAGGGTAGAAGACAGAGACTTAGCAAATGTCCATGAAGATAGAGGAAAAAAAATCAGGTCAGAGAAGAAAGAAACTGAGAGAAAATAACAAAAAGCTAGGTTATGAGGAGTAATGAAAAGAAAAAGACTTTGCAAAAAGAGCGGTCAGTATGTGGGTGTGCATTTTCTTTTTCTCCCTACCTGTTCATTCTTCTTCTGAACCCATTCCTTGTGCTTTTCTTCAGCAATTGCCTTTCTTTTTTCACGCTCTTCCATTTCTTTTCTTTTTTCTAGCTGTTGATTTAATTCCTACAGATTTTTATTCAAACAAAGGCAACATTTAATAAAAGTACTTGAATCGCATATTAAAAGCAAGTCTGACATTAACCAAATTAAACAAGAACATAATTTCCTTTATAGAAAGTACACCATTAGTGACAATAACTTACTTCAGTAACTAGTCTATGATGAAAAGAAAGCATTGGTAAAAACTATAAGTCATTTTTTAGAAATGCAAATAATTGCTTGGCAGCAAAACACTAGGTTCTTAGACTAAACTTCAGCTAAATTACCCTCATTGAAATCAACTTTCCCACACATAAATTTTGGCATCACTGTATGCTATTGGCAGAAGCTCAAGAGAATTGCAACTTTTTTAGCTATAAAAAGCTTCTAGATTCTTAATGCAGATAAAGGACAGGAGTTAAATAATCCCTAAATTAAAATTTTAATTCAGAGTTAACCAAAAGAAGAAATGTAGAGAAGTGATTCAATTTTCTTGAAGAAAAAAAAGAATCCAGATTTTTCTTCACTGATTTTATAGCTGCTGGAGTGTAAAACAAAACCACATTCATATCCCAGATTATTTAACTGCCTTGCTGTCACTCGAATCTACACGTTTGGGCATTTCCTCAGGAGAAAGAATGTAGAAGGTATGGCCAAATAAAACTTCGAGCTGAATGCCACCACTCTGTCACTCATCAGTTAAATTACTGCATTAGTTGAGAATGCTGTTCAAACTAGACTCCTAGGACTCAACTGCCATAATTACTGGTTATTTTTCTTCTCCCTCCTTAGATACTAATAATCAGATACTTTTATATCTCTTTCATTGGACCTCAGTCCTCCTCCCCAGCCTTCCCTTTCCCAAAGACCTACCTACCTGAGCGTGGGTGCTAGTGGGAGGGCCAATTTTTCAACTGTCAGACAATTCCAGTGTGATACATGAAATGAAGATAAAACTTGACACCAAGAACATACCTTTTGGACTTTAGAACAACTGGTCGCAGGACACCTGTCTTCCATGACCTCTCATCCTAAAATTCTGCTGCATAGAAAATAGCTGCCCTCACTCGTTCAGAAAGTCTTCCAACTTTTCAACACTATACACCCCTCACCACCCCAAAAGTAAAATATCCATCTTGGTTTTAAAGGGATTCTTCATTACCTCTACAGATGCTATGCCTTGATTATTCACCTAATACTTTTTTTACGCAGTGCCTACTATAAAGACAGCAAGAACGAAGATACAGATGAAATTCCAGACGTCTCCAATCTTATGTGAATCTACATATGAAAGCATTAAAGCACCATATTGTGAGGGGCTGTGTTTAACAGTTCAGGAAGTGGAAAGGAAGGGAGGGGAAGAGGAGAGAACCAGTGTGAACCACGGTAGTTGGAAATGAGTACCATAAGAGGGTCAGTGAGGAGATGGTTTGACAAGGGCGGGGCAGACTAGAAAATCAGAGCGTCGTACTAACTAGATAGCAAAAGGTCTTTCGAGACAGGCACAGTAAATTGAACACTACAAAGCAGGAATACATGGGAAAGGGAATGATTCTGAACCCTTCAAGTTTGCAGACTGCATTTGAAGGGAGGACAACTACTTTGAGGGAGCTGACTGGGAGGCTGCCACAGTGTAGGAGTAGTGAGGGGAAGAAGGTCTGAGAAGAAGTGTGTGTGTGTGACTGCTAGATACAGATCTGACAACCACATATCCAAAATTTTCCAAAATACTCTTATTTTATTTTTAAGGAAAGTAGTCATTTAAACATACAACTAATAATATGATTGATTATATTTATGTACCCTTTTAAGATTCTTCACGTAACTATACTAAAAACTCAGAGAAAAAAGCAGACTTATTCTTCACAAATTTTAGTTGATGTAAGAATTAAAGATGAAGGGTCAAAAGTACCTATAACTGACAAAATGCTGTAACTGACTCAAACAGTGCTCTACTGTCAGGATGTCTGTTCAAGTCATTGGCTACCCCAGAATACACATCCCTTTCTGAGACACAATCCCCTCTCCCCAACAAACACACAGGCGGCCCCTCTCAGAATTCCCAGCCTGACAGCCTCCACCTGTTTACCACCAGGCCATGCCTTTTCCAGACACAGCCAGCATCCTCTCCAACACAGACCCTAGGATGTCTTTTGAGAGACCACTGAGTTTCAACAGAATTATAGTTATTTTCCCACAGAGTGAACACTGGATTATGGAAAACCAAAATCCAAAAAGGATCCTAAATGTATATTTTTATTTCAATAGCTTTTGCTGACTTTCGAAGAACTTTTGATCACTGAAGGTAGGAATCAGGAAAAGTTACAGTTTTGAGTTTCATCAACTCTAAATATATCCTGCCCTATTTCTTTATTAAAGGCTAATGAATGAAATGGCCATAGGCAAATGGGGAAAAAAAAGAAAAAAGCACCTGGATTATTCACACACTAGATCATTTTTATAATTTAGAACAGATTGTATTAAAATGTTAAAGCAAATGTTAAAAATTAGAATTAACTAAAGGTTATAAAGAATTTAGGACAGTCTAAGTAAGTTTTTTAAATAATAAAAATTTAAATATAAAATGTATATGATCTATAATACCAATATGCTAGTTTTTCATCATACTAATGTTCAACATTTACTATATTTATCACTCAACATTAGTTACAAATATAACCAATTTTATAAGCACCATATGTTGATGGATTAAAGAAATTTCTTTTTAATTTTTAAAAAAATTTTAAGGGTGCCTGGGTGGCTCAGTTGGTTGAGCATCTGACTCTTCATTTCCACTCCGGTCATGATCTCACAGTTCACGGTTTGAGCCCCACATCAGGCTCTGCACTCAGCATAGAGATCGCTTAACATTCTCTGTCTCCCTCTCTCTCTGCCCCTCATCTGCATGTGTACTCGCTCTCTTTTTCTCAAAAATAAACATTAAAAAAATAATAAAAAATTTTTAATTTTTTTAAAATAGTTTTTTAATTTAGTCTTAGAGACATGTCTGAAACAAATGCCTGTCTAAAAATCTGTTGCTAAAATGAAATTTAGGAGAAGAGATGATTTTTTAATGACCCAATTATCCTTTAAATTTTCCTTTAAGTTTTCAAGGAAAAAAACAAGACCGGTAGGGTAAGTTCAAAATTAAATACTAAGTCTGACCCATTCATTTCTACAATACACCTTGATATTATGGAAAAAACACTTAAGAAATTGGAAGCTGAAAGAACAAGGACCCAGTCTCAGCTTTGCCAGGAACTGAAACATTGGCAAAGTTACTTTCTGGTTCTCAACAAGAATCTGAAATGAATTGTTCCTTATGACTAATAATCTGTGCTTTTAATGGTACGACTTGTAAACAAATTAGAGAATGCAATAAAGTAGGACAGAAAAATAAGAAAAGCATCACTTAGAAAATAAAACAAGGAATAGGGCGCCTGGATGGCTCGGCCGGCGGAGCATGTGACCCTTGATCTCAGGGATGTGAGTTTGAGCCTCATGTTGGATGTAGAGATTCCTCAAAAAATAGAATCTTTGAAAAAAAGAAAAACAAAACAAAGCAAGGAAAAGGTGTGAAAATAAATGTGAATATCACAAGAACGTAAAATAAACTTATAAAGTGAGTAGTGGGCCTATATGTTTTTATACCGTTCACATGAGTGATACACTAAGATTCATGCTAAAATATTTTAATTGGTTTAGAGTTAATGATGTAACCATAAGAAACTTCAAAGCACTAAATACATGAAGAGATTTTAATCTTTCAACTAAGCATACCTTGCTACCTGCTTAATCATTGTGGTAGGGACTTTATACTCATTATTTTCATTTGTTCTCAAAACAAATCTTCAGGATTTATTATTATCATCTGTTTTAAAACATAATAACAACTAACTTTCATTGAATGCTTCCTATATACTAGGGTATCTCCTTATGTTCACTTGGGTCCTCATAACAACACTATGAGGTCAATATTATTCTCCCTCTTTTATTGATAAAGAAATTGAGGCAGAGCGAGGTTAAGGATATGCCCAAGACCTAAGTTTTTAATCCAGAAAGTACAGCTCAAGAATTTATGCTTTTAACCACACTATTATTGCCTCTCTAACATCTGGTTTACAGATAAAGAAACTGGGACTCAGAGAAATTGGGTAACTCTGCCAAGGTCACAGTTAGAATGGCAAAACTAAAATTTTAGGCTTGTTCTATGTGACTCCAAAGTTCAGGCTCCCTTTTGAATTTTTTGTAATTTAATTGACTTCTTTTACAGAGTATGCTGACTCTGAAATAACTTGAAGGGATTCCTCCTTTCCTTAATGTAATAAGTGAATCTCTAGGTTGGAGATAAAGCTAAATACCATAAACTGAACTCCACTTTACCAATGGCTCACTAGATCAGTGTTTTCCAAACTGAGTCTAAAACCAATCTGTGGGTTTAGGGGCGCCTGGGTGGCGCAGTCGGTTAAGCGTCCGACTTCAGCCAGGTCACAATCTCGCGGTCCGGGAGTTCGAGCCCCGCGTCAGGCTCTGGGCTGATGGCTCAGAGCCTGGAGCCTGTTTCCGATTCTGTGTCTCCCTCTCTCTCTGCCCCTCCCCCGTTCATGCTCTGTCTCTCTCTGTCCCAAAAATAAAATAAACGTTGAAAAAAAAAAATAAATAAATAAATAAAAATAAAAAAAAAAATAAAACCAATCTGTGGGTTTTAAAAACAAAAAATAAAGGGGTGCCTGAGTGGCTCAGTCAGTTAAGCATCTGACTCTTAGTTTTGGCTCAGGTCATGATCTCACAGTTCATGAGATGGAGCCCCATGCTGGGCTCTGCGCTGACAGCACGGAGCCTGCTTGGTACTCTCTCTCTGCCCCTTCCCTACTCACGCTCTAAATAAATAAATAAAGAAGGAAGGAAGGAAGGAAGGAAGGAAGGAAGGAAGGAAGGAAGGAAGGAAGGAAGGAAAGAAGGAAGGAAGGAAAGAAGGAAGGAAGGAAGGAAGGACAGAATACCAGATTTTGCACAAAATCAAGACATCGTTTCAGATACGTATATGTATACATTTGTGTATGACATGAAGCAAAGTATATTTCTCACCAGGAACAAATATTTTGAAAGCTACTGCACTGAATAATGGAATTAGAAATGTTAAAATTTGAGGCTAAAACTCTGGGGTCTCAAGAAATCACATTAATTCTGAAAATAAATGAAAAAGCTTTAGAAAGGCCACAAATAGCAATGTTATCAGTAACAATACCAATACAACAATACCAGTCACCATATTCTGTCTCATTTAAACCTCACAAAAATCCTGTGACATAGGTATTATTTTTATTCCTATCATACAGATAGGAAATTGAAGCGAAAAAGTTTAAACAAGCCCACCTGGCATCAAATATTAAGATCTTTCTCAAGTCCCATGCCCTTCTAAGAGGAAACAAGTACTACTATGCACTTCTCCAGGAATAAATTTGTGTTTTACAAACATCATGCAACAGGGACACAGCAGAATACACTGGTTTCTACAATCATTGAATCATGCCACGACCCCTGAATATGTGACTGCCTACACAGTTCAAAATCCATCACAGAAATAACTAGTGACAAAACTGATATGGAAAATTTATTACAAGAAGATCATGGACAGCAATGCTTTAGATCCAGGGATTTTTATGGCAACATAGTTACTAATAGATTACATTTAAATATATGACAATAGTGAACCAGTTAATTATATTCTAGTATATATCTAATACAGTTAAAATACATTTTAATAATCTTAGCCAACCATTTAGAAATGATGTCATAAACACATTCAATTATACAGAAATATATTAACAATATGACAGGTGGAAAAAAGGTTACAAAAGAGTTTGATGCTGTTTCATTAGAAATAAGACATACCCCTTACCACTCAGATCTACTTGGTTTCTAGGTTCAGATAGGGAGAATCCAGATAGTGAATAACTAACTACAGGATGCCAAATCCTCCAAATCCTCCAAATCCTCCAAATTCGTTGCTAGGTTCTCAGCAGCAAATACGAAGAGTTCAAAGGATTCATGTGAAAATGTATCTCACGCTATTTTAGGAGTTTGGAGAGTGAGAGTTCAGAGAGAATCACAAACACAGAAATGCCCACAAGTGAGGCAGCGAGGCACAGAGAAACTGAAAAACCCTGAAAGCCCAGCAGATTCCCGTCTCCCCCCACACACTCACCCTAGGCCAAATACTCTGAGTGATGGGGGGGTAGGTTTCTGCCTCTATTTCAATTTTGGTTTCTCTTTTTTCTTAAAAATTTTACCAAATAAATGCAGTTGCATTTACTTTAGTTAAATGTATATATGGTGAAGCTCCATTTTATATGTCTTAATATACACACTTGTAGTTTGTTTTTTTTTTAATTTACACTGCAGAAAATCTGGAAGGCTATGTGCAATAATATTAACATTGGTTATGTTTAGGTGGTAAAATTAGAGATTTTCATGTTCTTCATTATACTTAGCTGTATTTTCCAAATGTTCTTATGATGAATGTATTATTTCTACAAGTAGAGAGATTAAAGCGGAAATAGCAAACTGATACAAAGAAATGGAAAAATTTTGTTTTGAGGGATAATATTAACATTTTACTTGTGACAGCAGCTCTAATTTGTGAACTCATAGATTCAGCAAAAAGGATACTGTCTAATTTACCTCCAGAGCCTTCTGTTGCAGACGGTCACGTTCTTCTTTTTCTTTGCCAACAAACCACACTTCCCATGGTGTCAGGCGGCTTTCGGGTAGGCACACCTGTTTCTGTTCTTGGTTATCTTCTGACCCAACCACACTGCTACAAGAGAGAGGACACTATAGCATCTGTATTCAAACGTCTTTGGCTTAACAGTCAAAATCACTGAAACTACACAGCAAAAGCAGTATAATATATACTAAATGTATTTATAATACTGTGATTTTTATAAATACATACATATGAATTTAATTATATATAAACATACACTTGAAAAATCATGAATAGGAAGTCCAATATTGGAATTAGTTATCTATCAAACTGCTTTTGAATTCATCACCTAAAATCACATTATTTAAAAACCCATTGGGATAACTATACCAATCCATTTGGCTCAATGACAACTTTTTTTTTTTTTTTTTTTATTCTTAAAAATCTCTCTTGGGACACCTGGGTGGCTCGGTCGGTTAAACGTCCGACTGCCTCAGGTCATGATCTCGTGGTTCATGGGTTTGAGGCCTGCATCAGGCTCTGTACTAACAGCTCAGAGCCTGGAGCCTGCTTCGGATTCTGTGTCTCCCTCTTTCTCTTCCCCTCCCCTATTCATGCTATGTCCCTCCCTCTCTCAAAAATAAATAAACATAAAAAAAAAAAAAATCTCTCATCTGGACAACTAATTACAACAAATGATCCTAATCAGATCCTGGAGCAGACTTTCCCCTTTTCCTTCCTTAAATAGTCCCAGGGGGGTAGGGGTGGGGGTGAGACTATGTGTGTATACACACATACACTCAGAATGATAAAGCAAATGTGTTAACAATTAAGGATTTTGGGGGCGCCTGGGTGGCTCAATCAGTTAAGCGTCTGACTTCAGCTCAGGTCATGGTCTCATGGTTCGTGGGTTCCAGCCCCGTGTCAGACTCTGTGCTGACAGCTCAGAGTCTGGAGCCTGCTTCAGATTCTGTGTCTCCCTCTCTCTCTATCCCTCCCTCATGCTTTGTCTCTCAAAATAAACAAAAAAGGTTTTTTGTTTTTTTTTTTAATTAAGGATTTTGGGTGAAGGGTAAACAGAATTTTGTTTTCTTTAAGATTTTAAAGTAATCTCTACACCCAAAGTAGGACTCAAACTTGCAACCCAAGATCAAGTCCCGTGTTCTACCAAGTGAGCCAGCCAGTTGCCCCAGAAATTCTCAACTTTTCTGTTAAAGTTACCAAAAAATATATATGGTTCTTATATTCTTTAATGTTCTGGTTGACTCCTTTCTGCCATTCTTCAGACAGGGTGTTTATGACTCCCCAGTTTAGTGACCTCCATCTCCACTTTGCACCTTTGTCAGTCTGTCTCTTTTTAGGTACATGGAAAAATAAGTACTCATTCATGCTCAAGAGAAGAGGGGAGGGGAGGAGAAATACTGGGCCTCAGCCAGATACACAAGCCTCATAAAACTTAGCAAAAGCGGAACCATTAGGACCCAAGGAGAGAAAGGTTGTTCAGGACCCAAGGCAGCTCTAAAGACTAGGTGTTTATAGACTCAGTGCCTCTGTCTCTTTAACATTCCTGCTTCAGGCAACCAACTGCCTTGCCCACTGCTCTGCACAACTTCTTCTACCTCACAGCTTCGGCTTACTCATTTTTTTTCCTGCTATTCATTCATCCATGTCCTCATGCAATTTGTATTCTGGCAGGAAAGAGACACTGTTGATGTGTTCTTTATTTCTCATATGAGCGTTTCCTTCTCCGTCTTGAAAAAACACCTCATCGGCACCCACAGTTTCAACTACCACCAGGTGCGGATGGTGCCCACATCAGTCATCCCAGGCCAGATCTTTCTCCTGAGCTACAGACGTATTTCCAACCATCTGACAGACAGCTCCACCTAAATATCAATCAGCGGCAAACACGTCTAATCCTCTTCTACCCTCTCCACTGAGAAAAACTTTACTTCTCTTAAAATCCTACCTCAGTGAAGAGGACCAAGAGCCACCCAGCCAGCCACGCCAGACACCCAGACCTGTGTTCCTCCTCCTGTTCCCTGTCCACATTAGTGCCCCCACCACCCAAACCTACGCCATTACCTAGTCATGTCTCTTCTGCTTCTTTCAATTTTCTCAAGCCGTTTTCCTCTTTCCCAACCTTACCACCACGGGGTGGACACAGCTGGCCTTTCTGCCTCCGTTTCAAACCATTTTCCACAACTCTGGACAGATTCAGCCTTCAAATGCGATCATGTCACTCCCTACCTCAAGGGTCTTCTGTGGCTCCTGCCCACAGGATGAAATCCAAACTCTACAGCCTGACACCCACGGATTGGCTCCCACCTGTCTTCCCAGCCTCTTTTGCCAATGGCTGCTCTGGACCCTACCAGTCTTGTCGCACTGAAGCAGACTGATGAATGCGCCATGCCCCTGTGCTCCGCAGTTTTGTCTAAAACTGAAATACCTCCACCTCCCCAGGGCGAGCCATGCAAGAGCTTGGTTTGGAAATACAACGTCTGGGATGAATCTCTACCTGCTTCCTCCTAGCTAAGTACATTTCTGAACCTACTGAATCCTCTGTTCTCATCCAGCACATGGACATGAGAGCAGAGGCTCCCTCACAGGTGCTACTGCATGAGACAATCTATGCTACGGCGCTTAACACAGATTCTGGGCACTCAGTGAGCATTTGGTGGGTGTCATTTTGTAGGAGGAGGAGTTCGGCTAATCCTACTATCCCTTCAAGATTCAACTCAGGGGGGGCCATGGGTGACTCTGTCGGTTGAGCGTCTGGACTCTTGATTTTGGCTTAGGTCATGATCTCTGGGTTCGTGGGATGGAGTGCTGTGTCTGCTCCCACACTGGCAGTACAGAGTCTGCTTGGGAGTCTCTCTCCCTCTCTCGCTTTCTGCCCCTCCCCCTCTCGCCCTATCTGTCTCTCTCAAAATAAATGAATAAACATTAAAAAAAAAAAAAACATTCAATTCAGGCATTAATCTTTATTCCCTCATAGTAAAACTGCAAAATATCTGGACTAAGTGCCTTGGGCTGTCTGTCACTTGTCCATCTCTGCCATAGGCTATGAATTCCCTACAAACAGAAAGCATGTTTTAACTCATTTTTTATTTCAAGAGTCTAGCTTAGGGCCTAGAATACAGTAAGGTCCTAAGAAATATTTGTTGAAAGGGTGAGATCAGTGTTTTTCTTAAAAAAAAAAAAAAAAAAAAGACACTTTAAATATTAAATGTCTTGCCTTAACATTTTTAACAAATGATATCATATACACTACAAAATGTACAGCATACACACTACACCTCTACCCATAATCAAAAGAGGCTTAATAAGCAGCTTTTTACAACTAAGACATTTATTTATTAAGGCATGGTTTTCCTAATGCACAGAGTGATATAAAAACCAGGATAAAGGTGAATAAATAGAAGGCCCAAGGCATATGATGAAAGACTCCAGGAAAATACTTCTCAGTATCTTTTCTGAAGTCAACTGTGAGCTTCATCTCAGTCCCGTCCAACACGCTCGAAGCCATCCTCTAAGTACGGCTCTATGAACACCTAAAATACCCAGAGCTCATCTCACCATGCGCACCTGATGCCTCAGTCTATCCCTGTGGCAGATGAACAATGGGCACAAGGCATACAATCCCACACAGCTCTGGGTGTACTCCCTGGTCCATGGAGAGAATGCCCACTGCTGGAACGGGGCTGGGACTATGGCTCGGGCTGCCTGCTCTCCTCATCACCTCACCCCCAAACTGTCCAGGGCACCAACTGAAGGTTGGAGGTAGGGAGGACAAATGAGGAAATTTTGTAAACACTTACTTTCCTGAAAGGAAATGCTAGGTTTTCTGAAGCATTTGAAGACAGCCACTGTATCTACATGTTCTCTAGGAGTGGGAATTAGGCATTCATTCAGCACATTTATTGAACACCTAATAGGCATCTGCCACTTGCTACCCACAAGGCCTGGCAAGTTGTGTATTCCTTCCAGGCCATATCCTACCTATTCCCTTTGGTTCATAGGGAATGAGCTGTGATATGGCAGCGATAAGGAGGGAAGCCTTAGTCCTGGGATGCTACCAGCTTGTTTGGGCTTTGGCTAAAGTGAGACATAAAACATGTCTGGCTCCTCTCCTGAGCTCCACTTGATTAGGGCTCTGACTCCTGGAAGCTAACACAAGGTCTCAGTAGCTGCTCTGTGGTTTTGATAACCATCGCTCCTCCATAGGTTGCTAAACTGTGTCGACACTGCTCAGCCTTGTTGGTTAGACTCAGAAGGTAGTTTCCAAAGCCTTAAAATTATTTCAAAAATCCTTGGGACCAACTCAATCCTGAAGAATGCCTATGATGACCCACATGAGAATGGACTCCCAAAACTCTATCATCAAGAACCACTATCAGGTTGATCAGAGGCCTGTTTCTTGTTGTTACAACCAGTCTGGACAAGTGGCTTGCTTGGTTACTCTTACTGACCTCCATTCCCCCAATGTACTTACTTTTACTTTCTCACTGCTGTGACTGTGTATAGCAGTCATCTCATATGGTTCCATATTCCATCCACGCATTCTGGGTATGACGGCCTTACCCTCAAGCGGGCTACCTTGCTGCTTACACATGAAGCATACGTTCTCTGGCCTGTATTTCTGAGATCTCCCGTATTGTGCCTTACACAGCTTGATAATCAGAAACTTGTGAGTGTTTTCTAAAGATGATGCACGAGCCTACTCCAGAAGGAACCTGCATTACTCAGCCTGTCTCAGAAAGTTATTCCTGCAGGGATAGGCCCTTTGTTCTTGTTTCTATACAGCTCATAATAACAGGCATGTCGCATAGGGAAGACAGAACCTGATTGGTATACCTCAGTGCTAGGCCTGGCTCTGCTAATAGCTAGGTGGGTGCTTCTGAATCCCACTTTGTACTTGTATCCTGAGCCACAGTTTTGTTATCTGTAAAATGAGTACAATAAATTCATGTAGGCTTTAATTTCGTGAGAGTAGAGGCCATGTCTATCTTGTTTATGGTCCCCTGTATCTAGATTAGTATGTGGCACAAACTAGATGTTTGTTGAGTAATTGTAGAAATTAAAAAAAAAAAAAAAAAAAAAGGTGATTTTAATAATCTCTTTGGTTCTAGCACGGACTCAGTGATTTCTATTCTGTTGGGTGAGTGGTCAGACCAGACCCAGCCTTGTCTGTGGATGCGGGGATGGGCATTGCTAATCTATGTTTCAGCTCCTCATTTATGGCCCCCAAAGCAATACTGCTTTACTACAACCTCCTTCACTGGCAATCAGATCTTTTTCAAAATAACCCCAGGTACTACCAAGGCGCAGGAAACCATTTTGGTGTTAAGGGTTTGAACAAGAGTTCTGGTGTCCACAATCTGACTTGTGAATATTCAGGAAACTCCTGAAATGGTGGAAAATTTTGTGTTTTTGAGACTGCGTACGTTTTTCTGCACAGGGACTGTAGCGATCATATTCTCAGTTAAAGAGATTTAGAATCCTAGAAAATCTGCAGGCATGTGTGAGAACTGGCCCACAACTCTACGTGCAAACAGCAGCGGCACCTCAGAATGCCGGGGCCTGCACGGCCCCGGCCCCGAGGCGGGCGCCAGGAGGGTGTCTGGCCGCCAGAAGAAGGCGCTTGCAAGGGTCTAGGGGATCTTGAGAGGGGCAGTACCGGCCCGTAGCCCAGGGTTTACCTGACGCACCCCTGTAACTCCACTCCTCTCAGGTTCGCCACCTTAGCTTCTAAATCCTGAGCATCTTCCTCCACGTCCTCCTCATCCTCCCCGTCGCCATCGTCGTAGTCAAACGGGAAGCTCTGGTGGCCAAGGGGAGACAACAGTGACATGGTGGAATTGCTGCAGCTCAGCGGCGGCGACGGCGAGCAGACTGTCACCGTCTCCGGCCCCTGCCCCGGGGCGCCCGCCATGAGGTCGGAGAAGGGGCCGGAGGAAGGCCGAGACCTGGACCTGCAGCCGGCCGAGGAAGCCGGCGAAGCAGCCCCCAACAGCCCGGCCGCCCACATCGGGCCCGCCAAGTTCAAACCGGCAGAGTGGCGGCGGGGACGTGCTCTCCCAGCAGGCCCCGCGCGCGCCGGGCCGGCCTATCCCGGCGGGCGCAGACCTCGCGTTGCCATGGCGACGCGTGGAGGCCGCGAGGGCTTTGTCCCCGCCTGCGGAGCGCGGCTTGCTGCGCCAGGGCCTCCCTCTGCCCGCCGCTGACGGCGTGCGGGGCGCGTCCCTCGTTTGCTGTTCATGTAGTACAAGAAATGTGCTGTCACTGAGCGAGGCAGAGCAAGAGGCGGAAGCCAAAACTACCGCCGTATACTTAACAGGTCAGGGTTTTAAGGATCAGTCATTTCTTGCCGCACACAGCCATATTTTATGGGGAGAGGAGAGCGAACTTTATCCAAGTTTCCAAGTGTATCCAAGCATGCTCTTTGAGGGCAATCTTCCGTTGTTTTGGGTAGCACCTCGTTTGCCTGACATCTTAAGGTAACTAGTGTGTCGGTGCATGTGAATTTTGAGGTCTTTTTGAAGCTTCTAATTTACAAGGGGCTGTGCTAAGCACTAAAGATAGAGTAAAAGCCCTGCCTTCACACGTTCCTCATTCTTTTGTGGTGTAGAATCATCGTATTAAAATATTATGTGATCTGCATTTTATGATTTTTTTGGTGAGACCTCGGAAGGAGCACTGTCCTTTTCAGGTACTGGGAATAGGGATGACGGTAGCAAGGAAGAAGTGGTAGACAATAAACCTGGATGCTTTGTTCATGCTGACAAAACTGTGCACACTTGTAAATAAATATGGCTTTGGTCCAGCTCATGATGCATATTACTAGTAGAAATATCAGACTGAAAAGTGACAAAGGCTAAGACAGCACACAAAATTTGTTACTGACCAAAGAGTAATAGAAAATTTTTGATGAAATTTAGATCTGCAAAATTTGACACATGAGAATGAGGTACGGCAGAAATAATAGCAACCAAGGGCAATTCACAAGGCAGTAGCTATAATTAGTAAAGTATGACATGGTTGAAACTATTTTAGTGGAATGCTAATTTTTGTTAATTTTGTTAAAATTTTCAGTAAAAACAATGAAAATGGCAGAAAATTAGATCAATTTAACTGTGTAATATAGTCAATCAAGAAATAAAATGGGCTTAGTGGAGTTTACATTCTGTACTTCTTGAGTTACTTCTGTTATTCAATATTGGCAGATCTGGTTAAGACTTTTATGAGAACCTCCCTAGAATCAGTAACAGCATTAAAAGGCCTCGGGCCACTTCAGGGCTTCATAGGAGGTAACAAGCTATTCCCAACATAATCTGACATCCCTGAAGCAGAGGAGGAAAAAAACATAAAAGTGTTAGTATGAAGGGGACCTGGATTTGAATCAGTGATTTTCTTCTTACTCATGAGATTCCCTTAAACAAGCTCTTTGGCTTTCCTAACTTACTCCTTTGTAACAGGGAGGTAACCTATCTCCCAGTCATTAGTGTGTCATTAATTCTCAAAGTTTCTGGCATAGGACCTGACAGAGAAAACGGAAAATGATAAATTATGTCATTTAAACTCCCAAACTTTTCCACTTTGACCTCTTGGTATAGGAATCTAAAATGTCATACGTTTCTGCCTCCTCAAAATGTTTGACTAAACAAATTATGTCCTTCCCTTGATGTCTTGAGAATCGTCATAATGACCATCTACTGCATTGTGCTGTAGCAACACTGGAGATAATGAACCAAGGAGATCCATGGCATTGGTGCTGGGGCTTGAACATAATTGAGTCCTGTGGTCTCCTTTCTTACAGTGCCTTGTCATTACTGTGACTGAGAAGCCATAATCAAGTTTGGTAGAATTATATATACGTGTATAAATAAGCTCAAAAGAAGGCCTCCCCCCCCCTTAAGTTTTTGGTAACTTCTCTACTTACTACTCATTTTCATGGTACAGTTGAGATAAATTTTTATTTTTTGCTGACTTTGTAACCTTGTACAAGAGTAACTTTTGCTTAAAAATCCCTATCTGACTTTGTTACAAAAATAACACCATTACCAGTTAGCCTTGTAGCAATAATTAGGCAAGTTTTAAAAATTTATCCCCAGACATACTGAAATCTTTACAGATGAAACATGTCTTAGATTCACTTCAAAATAATCCACGGGGTAGGGATGCCTGGATGGTTCGGTCCATTAGACGTCCAACTGTTGATTTCGGCTCAGGTCATGATCTTGCAGTTCATGAGTTTGAGCCCCACTTCAGGCTCTGAGCTGACAGTGTGGAACCTACTTGGGATTCTCTCTGTCCCTGTCTCTCTCTGCCCCTCCCCTGCTTACGCTCTCCATCTCTCTCAAAATAAGTAAATAGACGACAAGAAATAATCCAAAGGGCAGATGGATTAGAGCGAGTTAGTGCATGGGACGCAGATGAAACAAGATTTACCATGTGCTGTTGATAATTGCCACAGTTGGGTGATGGGTACCTGGGGTGAAGGCTGAGGTGATGGGAAGGGTAATTATACTATTCTTTTTGTTATGGAAATTCCAGACACAAAGTTAAGTTTAAAACAAATGAACAAAACCAAAAGCTGATGTCTCACATTAAGAAGAATTGGGTACTGGTTTGGTTTCTTATCTGTTGTGTAGGATTTAGCTATTCACTTAAATTTCATCAAGTCCTCTATTTTCTCGTCTGTAAAATTAGGGCTCGATGATTGTGAATATTTATAGCTAAGCATTTGGGCAACTGACTACATTTGGTGTCATAAAGGATTACTTATCATTTGCTTTTATTATTTAGTTTTTTAAAGTGATCTCTACATCCAGGATGCCTGGGTAGCTCAGTCCATTAAGCGTCCAACTCTTGGTTTCAGCTCAGGTCGTGATCTTACCATTTGTGAGTTCAGTTCAAGCCCCACATCAGGCTCTGTGCTGACAGCATGGAGCTTCCCTGAGATTCTCTCTCTCTACCCCTCCCCTACTCACACTGTGCCCCCCCCCAAAATAAATAAACATTAAAAAAATTAAAAAAAAAAAGTAATCTCTACATCCAAGGTGGTGGGGCTTGAATTTACAACCCCGAGATGAAGAGTTGCACGCTCCACCAGCTAAGCTAGCTAGGATCCCCAATCATTTGCTTTTAAACAAAGACCTAATTAATGGTAGTCTCTTAAAGTTCACAATTTGTTTTCCATGAGTTATCATTCAGACTCAAGATGCAATAGTGTTTCCCACTACATGCATAGCACAATCTACCACATAGTTGAGGTATCTGCTATTCTATGTTTTAAATGAAATGTGAAGTTTTCGGTAACTTGAATTTTGGAGAAAAAAACACTTCTAGCTAGATTTTTTTCCAAGTTATGATTTAATATTTATCAGATGTGTAAATAAACAAACATGATAGCAACTTTAAAAACTTGTGAATAGTTGGCCTTACAAAATTACATCACACTGTAAATAAATCCCTCCCGCATTTTATACAAACTACATGATTTTGATATACAAAGATTCTGTTTTTATTACACTGACAATGTACAACCAAGACTATTTACAAGGCAAAAAAAAGTATATAAACCACAATTTAACATTCTGCTACTGGCAGCCACTACAGTGTAGGAGGTAGCTTTAATTAAACGAAATGAACAGAAGCCACATTTCCCAACTTGTGTTCTAAAAATAATTTACATAAGATAAAAATTCATTATATGCACATTATATACAGTTTAACTATTAAACTGCAAACTAGCTTAATGTTTTTTAGTATATCCTGAATAACTAATATGGCAGTGGGTTTGCTATTGATTTAGCATATGGTTCAAAAAACATTTATAACTTTAAGACTCCACATAGTGACATGTCAAAAGTCCATAGATAAGAATCAAGTAAAATTTTTAATTGTTAAAGACACAGGCCTAAGCTTTATTCTTTTTCTTAAATGACAGATTTGTTTTATCTCACAAGGACACAGTATCTGAACTGTAGCATAGGCTCTTTCGTATTTAAATCACAGTAAGGTGAAAATGTATGGAAGCTACCATGTAACAGCACAGGTTCAGGAGAATCCAGCTCACTAAGAAATAATTATAAGTGCTTTGTGTCATAATTACTCCCAATTTCTTCCAACTTAATACAATAATTTACCACTGTTTATTTTCTGCGTAATTCAAACTATATGTAGATAACATACCAACAAAATTGGAAAATGTCAGCTCAGCCAATGATACTAAGAAATGTTTTTTAACGAGAACATTCCACAGAGCCATCAAGTCCCTCAGATACTATTAAAATCCCATATCAGTTAGTAGTTTAGCCAAATCTACCAAACCCACACAACAATGAGTCCTTTACTTTTTCCTAGTGTGGTCACAAGACACTGAGGGCAAAATTACTGGGTTTGCACCACAGCGAAGCGTGAGCACTGAAAACACACGTTCAGCTATTCTTTTAAAATCTAACAGTTGTTAATATTGTTTTAAAAACATCTTCAGGTTTTAGGTTTATAAATCACTTAAACAGAATTTATGATTCTGTTGTGTGAAAGATGGGACCAGAAAATGCAATCAGGCGATGCCTACTCTTCTGTTCTCACAGTTTTACCTGGGAGACAATCCCTTTTTTGGCCCTGCAGTTAAGTTGTCCTGAGATTAATGATGAACCATTAGGTAAAATTAGCAAGACTTTTTCTTAGCTACATAAAATCACATTTTAAAATATTCTTAAAAAAATATTAACAGCTGTTGTTCACCTTGTGCTTAGTTCAGATCGGTATAAATCTGCTTCTCATGGATCAGGAAAACCTAACATGATATTGCTATGATATACAAAAAATTTTTCAAGTTATAAACCTGTTCCAAATAGACCACACATTGCTTGCACGTTGCATTTTCCATTGACTGACAGGTTAGGCACTTGTTCCTTGAGAACGTCTGGTTTCAGAAATCAACTGCCCCCCTTCTCCTCCTTCTAAGTGACACACCAGGCAGTGATCCCAGAAGTGCTTCCCAGATGAAAGGTCAGACCAGGGTTCTTCTCTAAATGCTGTGATTTTGGTTGATGGGGGAAACAGTTA